CAAAAATTCTTGTATCAATTTGGTGTTGTTGCCATTGGGGTTATAGTTTGGATCATTAGAATTTGTGGAATCTTTAAGATCAGGTTTTATTTGTCTTTGGTTACTAATCATCTTTGACTCTCATTGCTGCTTTTCAGGTGTATGAACCTTAGATCAAGAGGCTCTAGCAACTTGGTGGACTTCATTGACAACATTAATTTGCTGGACAGAGGTCAAAGGGAAAGAAGGCAATAGGAAAGACTGCAACACTTGGAGAGGTTAGGGATGAATGTTCAGGAGCAACATGGTTTGGATGATATGAGGTTTCAGGGACCTCAAGGAGCAGCTGGTATTCAGGGCCAACAAGGTGTTCAAAGACAGCAAGGAGAGCAAGGTCCTAGAGGAGCAGCTCAAGCTCCAAGACCCATCAGACCTATTGGAGCTGGTGATGCGCCCAATGCTTACAACCACAGTACATGAATCCTTTCTCCAGCTGTTCAGAACAATAACTTTGAGATCAAATTTGGTCTGATCTCAATGGTCCAAGGAAGCAAGTTCCATGGTTTACCTCTAGAAGACCCTCTGGATCACTTGGACAACTTTGATAGGCTCTGCTCTCTAACAAAGATCAATGGGGTCAGTGAAGATGGTTTCAAGCTGAGGTTGATTCCTTTTTCTCTTGGAGACAAAGCACACCAATGGGAGAAGAATTTACCTCAAGGAAGCATAACCAGTTGGGATGAGTGCAAGAGAGCATTTGTAGCAAAGTTCTTCTTTACTTCAAGAACAGCTAGAATCAGGAATGAAATCTCAGGATTTGCACAGATGAACAATGAAAGCTTCAGTGAAGCTTGGGAAAGATTCAAGGGCTACACACTGTAGTGCCGACACCATTGGTTTTGACAAGCTTCTCTGCTCTCTACTCTCTACAGAGGAGCTCTCCCAAGGATTGGAACTTGTGGGGAATCTAGCACAGTCTGATGGGAATTATAATGAGGAGTTTGATAGAGCTCCAAGAAGTGCTAAAGATGAACTGGAGTCTAGCAAGAAGGAGATCAAGGCTTTACATGAGAAGATTGATATGTTGCTAAGGGAAAGGAAGGAAGTTAACTTTGTTGGTGACTTGGTTCAGATTGAAGATCAAGAAGGCTGCCAAGTTGAGGAGATGAACTATCTTGGTAATCAAGGAGGCTACAATGGGTATGGGAACTACAGACCTAACCCAAACCTATCCTACAGAAGCAACAATGTTGCCAATCCTCATGACCAAGTGTACCCACTTCAACAGCAACATCAAGCTGGTTCAAGACCTTTTATGGCTTACAACAATAACAATCAAGGCTTTCAACAAAGGAACAACAACTTCCATCCAAGAGCACCCTACAACCTTCCAGGATTCAATGTTCTAGCTCCAGCTCAAGCTTCCTCAAGCTCTCAAGATCCTGAACTCAAAATTATGATGCAGCAAGTGCTTCAGAATCAGGTCAACTTAACCTTGGATATGACCAAAAAGTTTGCAAAGGTCCACAACAAAATAGAATCTGTCCATGTGGAGTTAACCAACAAGTTTGATAGCTTAGCTGCAAGGCTGAAGACCTTAGAGAACAACAAAGGCATAGCAAGTGCACCACGCCCTCAAGGTACTCTTCCTGGCAAATGTGAGAACAATCCAAAGAAATACTGCCAAGCTGTTGATTCCCTAGATACTTTCACCACTGAGGAAGAAGCTATTATAGATGAGTTGTTGTCAATGATCAATGAGGACATTGATGAACAAAGTGAGGGGGAAGAAATTGTTCAAGTTTCTGATGCCAAGAAGGAAGCTCAAGCTGATGTGTTCCCAGCTTATCAACCTGACATTCCATTTCCAGGAAGATTCAAGGAGCAGCTAGTCAAGAAATATGAAACTCTTTATCCTGCTCAAATGGAGATGAGAGGTCTAGAAGAGCTTGGGAAACTGAGAGCTAAGGCTGTAGCACCAGAAGTCAAGGAGCTGAAAATCAAGAAACTTGGAGATCCTGGTTGCTTCACACTCCCTTGTGGGCTTAAAGGCAAGATTTTCAAGAGCTGTCTATGTGATTTGGGTGCAAGCATCACTCTGTTGCCAGCCTCTACATCCAAGGAGTTGGGTTACATCAAGTTCCAGCAAAGCAATGTCTCTCTAACCATTGCTGATGGGACAGTTAAGATGACATTAGGAGCCTTGAAGGACGTCCCTATGCAGATAGAAGGAGTGACTATCCCAACTGATTTCTTTGTGTTGGATGTTGAAGGGCAGATCAAGAATGCAATCATACTTGGAAGACCATTCTTAGCTTCAGCTGGAGCTGTCTTTGATGCTAGAGTATGCACAACAGAGCTGAGGCTTACCAAGGACAAGGTCTTGAAGTTTGATTGCAAGGACAACAAGCTGGATCATGATCATACTTTCTCCATGGAGCTGAACAAGATGAAAGGAGTTGACAAGAACTGGCCAGAGTTTGAAGGTTACTAAGGAGAGAGCTTTGATGGTTGATGTTTGTCAAGGCTGTTTGAAGACATCACTGAAAAGGAGGTTCTTTAAGTGGTTGGTTACAAGAAGATGAATGAAATCAAGTTGGTTACTGAAGAAGGAGGGGTGGTCTTGAAGCCCTTTTGTTCTAAGGATGGTGAATTCTGCTAGAAGCTGAAGTAAGGAGGCAAGTCTAAGCCCTTTGCTGAGATGAGGATTGATGGACTCACCACAAGTATCAAGAGGAGTAACACACCACCAAGGAGTTCCAAGACTTCTTCTCCTTACCTCCACTAAAGAGGTAATCAAAGTCAAGCTAAGTGACTTTAAACAAGCACACTTGGGAGGTAGTCCCATGGTTTCTTTGTATATATTATGCTTTTGAGTTCATGTTTAAGTTTTTGTAGTGTTCTTAGAAGCAGGAGTTTGGATTGGGGATTGAGCAGATGTTTGGGGAAACAAAACAGATTCCTTATGGCTGGTATCGCTCACTTGTATCGGTCATGCCAGACCGATACAAGCCTATCGGTCATGACCATTGGTCTGTAGTGATCGATACTGTTGGAGCCAGAAGATGCATTTCATCTGTCATCCCCATCGGTCAAGGAGCGACCGTTGGGAATCAAGCAGATGTAGTATCGGTCAGTTGTATCGGTCACAAGTGACCGATGGAAACCAAGCAGATGCATCATCAGTCACTCGTATCAATCAAACGTGAACGATGGGAATGGGCAGAGGATTATCGATCACATGTATTGGTCAAAACTGACCGATACCACCCTATCGATCAAAAGTGATCGATAGGGTCGGCGAGGTATGTTCTTTGATTTTTAAAAAAAATCCCTCCTTTGGTTTGGAGCCAAGGGAGATTAAATTTAATTTGTTCTTCTCCTGAAGTTTCTCAAACCATTTCAGGAACCTTGTACTCATCTTAGACTCTACTTCCCAAGTAGTTTGCTCATCCGGGAAGAACTGAGCTTCGGCGGCGTAAAACACAGGGGAAAGTGAACCGATGAATTGAGAAAGAAGGCGAAGATCATACGATCTCTTGGTGGAATTTCGGTTTAAATTTGGGATGGGTATTTCAGTTTAATTTTTTTTTTTACTCTTATATTTTGAGTGATTATATAAATTTTACTTTATTTTTAAATTGAATCTTTTTTATTTGTAAATTAATCTTTTAAATGTTAAATAATTTTCTTTTGTACTATTTAATATTAATAAACATTATTTGAAGAAAAGTTAGTGTACAATCAAAAGAAAAAAAAATTTCCCTTAAATCATCTCCAATCCACATTTATTTTAAATTTTCTCATGAGAAAACTAGAAATGTTATTCTTTTCTCTATAGTTGGAGTAACAATCTTTCAATTTTTCATTTTCTGTAAAACAGAAATAGGTTGGAGATAAATCTATCTATATTTTAGAAGAAAAAAATAAAAAATTACATTGTAGATGATCTTAATATTTAATATATTATTCAAAGTTAAGAAAAAATATTAGTTAAAGAAGACAAAAAAAATAGAGAAGAATAATTTTGATCGATTTTATGTTTTTATTTAAAATATTTAAAAATATTATCTTGCACATATTAATTTTTTTATGCATATATTTTTTTCAGCATATTAAAATATTATTTCATGAATCAAGTTTTGTATATGTTGTGATCCATTATATTTTATATTTTAATTTTTAATATAACAGTCAAATATTCAATATATATTATTTTACACCTTAAATCACATACATATAAGTTTCGATCCGACTGGTTTAAATGCTGCAGTTACGGAAAATTTGTGGAAGCGAGCAATTGCAGACTATAAAAAAGTTGACGAAAAGATGAACAGACAGCTACCAGAAAATTATAAAGTTTTTTCATATCATATTAATGGAAGACTTGGATATGAACTTTAAAACCCAACAATATAAAACGAGTTTTAACTAGATGTTGGTCAAAAAGACGAGAACTAATGTAATTTTCTTCATATGAAACCGTTCTTTTTATGGATAAAATGAGACTATTAAAATTAAAAGTCTAAAAGCAAAATTTAGAAAAAAGACTGTGTGTTGACCAAAAAAAGAAAAAAGACTGTTTGATGTTTTGTAGCTTTACTTCTTGTCCAACGGATGGATCTCTACATGTGTTGGTACAAACTTTAGTTTTCTTTCCCTCAACTCTTAATGTTATCCAGGAACAAAAATGTCCCTCTACTTTTAATAAAATTCAAGAACTAAAATATTTCAATTGAGACAGATGTACACACAAACTTATTCATCATCAGAAAAAGTTTCTGAAAAACAAACAAAATGACTGGAGTAAGATGATGTATTCGCATCTTCTGTACAGAAGAAAGGACTCGGCTACGAAACAAGGCTCGTGCTTGTAAGCAACATTCAAGAAACGAACTCTCTGCTTTCTCCTTCTTCCTCTTCATTTTTTCTTATTGATACTGAGATTTTTGTATTACTATTCCCATCAACCTTATTGATTCAAGTTAATCATCATTGAATGAATATTCGATCATATATTGCTTTAACGTTGATCCTTGCGGAAACAGATTGGGACTGGAGCTCGTTCAGAAAAGATAAAACATACAATTACACGAATTATTCAAAGCCTTACTTTTAAAACAGGATTATTTCTTTAATTCTCATGTTGTCTGAAAATTACAGGATAGTAGAGTGACCGAGAGATCATAGGCTACAGATGAACTTTCCGCTTACATCATTTCTTTGAATGTGGCTTAGGATCATTCAAAGCTGTCATGATATCGATGAGTTAATGGCAGCAGCTGAGAATCAATCTCTTAGGTGAAGATCATGGCCTAAGCTTAATATGGTCTTTAGCTTTGCCAAATGATCAATCAAGTACCAGACATTGCCTCAACTACAGAGTAGTATGTGCTGTCATTAGGAGTAATCCCGTCGCTTTTCATCTCCCTAAGCAGCTCTTCCGCGAGCTTTCCGTCCTGGTTTTTACCCAACCCCTTCAACAGAGCATTGTAGGTGAGAAGAGTTGGATTAAACCCAAGACTCAACATCTCATCTCGAACCATGAAAGCCTGCTTTGTATCTCCTTTCTTACTATACCCACTAATCAAAGTGTTGTAACTAATATGGTCAGGTTTGATTCCTCTACTCTTCATCTCCCCCATCAGCTCACGAGCCTCCTCGAATTTTCCTTCTCCACAGAGCCCTTTCATCAAGCAATTGTATGTCACATCATCAGGATCGATTCTCATCTCATCCATCTCCTTAAGAAGCGAAAATGCACGGTCCATGTTCCCCGCAGAACAATGGCCATCCATCAAGGCGTTGATCATCACAAGGTCAGGCTTCACCATTCCCTTGCTTACAACTTTCTCAAACAACTCATCTGCCTCCTTCGTTCTCCTTCTTCTACATAAGACATAGATGAGCGACGTATAAGTAAACTGCGTAGGCTTAATCCCATCGGTCAACATTTCGTCGTGCAAAGCAAACGCTTTCTTTGCATCTCCATGCTGACAATATCCATTTATGAGTATGTTGTAAGCAACAGAGTCCAAGGCTATACCTTTCTCTCTAATTTCTCTGATCAATATCTCAGCGGCCTCGATCTTGTTCTCCATAAACAAACCATGAATCAACGTGTTGTAAGTATAAAACGTTGGCGTGAAACCTTCTTTCATCATCTCATCCCTGTAAGCGAAAGCTGTCTCCAAATCCCCTTTATTACTACAACCACGGATCAAAATATTGTAAGAAACAGAGTTTGGAACCAAACCCAATTCCTTCATCTCCTTCAACACCTCAGAGGCTCTTCCTTCACTACACATCCAAGACAGAATCGGATTATATGTCTGCAAATCCGGTTTAAACCCTTTGGATTTCATCTCTTTGATAATCATTCGAGCTCCTTCGATTCGTCCTTCTAACGAATACCCTTGAACAAGAGTGTTGTAAGTGACAATATTAGGCTTGACTCCAAAACTCTCCATGATTCTTAAAACTTCCTTAGCCTTTTTCAACTTCCCTTCCTTACACAACACGTTGATCATAATGTTGTAAGTGTATATGTTGGACTTAATCTCCATCCTATACATATCAGCGTAGAAGACCCAAGCGCTCTCTATTCGATTCAACCTTGATAACAAACTAAGAATGCTATTACAAGTTTCAGTCTTTGGATCAAAACCTTTCTCCTTCATCAAGTAAAAACACTCTAATGTTTCATCCACCATCTTCAATTCACAGCAACATCTGACCAAGAAATCGAAAAGTATGGTGCTTTTTGACCCTAATCGTTCACGAGCAAACACCAATTCATCGAGAATGACTCTAACACTACTTCTACTAGTAACGATTGCTTTAAGTAACTGAAGAGCTGGTTTAGGAGAAGAGAGCTTAGAGACAACAGCAATCGCTAAGCACTGTGTTGAGAAGTCCAAGCGACGAAGATCGATGCGGTTGACGAAATTGAGAGCTAAATCTGGAGTCTTGACGAGGCTGAGCAGAGTTGTTGATACAAGGGAAGGTGTAAGCTTGCTCGAGACCTGTTCGACGAAATGCCACTGAGAAGATTTAATCGAGTCCACCAAACTAACAGATGTAATCGGTTGTTGTGAGAGCTCAGGCTTGGTGGTGGATATTGGGGTCAAAGAAGAAAGACGTGCGGCGGTAAGAAAATAGCCGCCGCCGGGAAGAACTGAGATTCGGCGGCGTAAAAGACAGGGGAAAGTGAACCGTCTCATGGCCAAGGTTTCGGTAACGCAGAGCACGACAAAGGTAGATATGGTGATTTCAGAGGTCTTGTTTATTTAATTGTCAGGGTTGAAGAATCGATGAATTGAAGGAGTAGAAGAAGTAGAAGAAAATGGGTTTTAGTTTTAGGAGTGAGATTATACGAGCTCTTTGGTCGAATTCCGGTTTAAATTTGGGATTGGGTTTTTTGGTTTAATGTGTTTGGTTTTGTTTTTGGTTCGAAAGGAAATGTTGTGAATACCCGAATTTAAAACTCGGTGGGAATATATCTAAATTATGTAAAACATAAAAATAAAAAAATTATTGTAAACTAGTGTTTTATTAGAAAAGAAAAAAAAGTTTAAGAATTATAAACTTCAAAGAGAAAGATGAACATAAAAAATCATTTCTGTTTTTTCTAAATTTATGTTTTTATAAAAAATAAAGTCACATACGTACAAAAAAAATATTATTTCATAATAAAGTAAGCTAATGTATAAAAACAAAAGCAAATGAATAATCACAATCCATTTAACAATTTTTTTTAATTATACATCATTAATGATATATTATGTATTGCCTCGTTAAAAACCTTATCATGAAAAAACTCGTTTGGGATAAAAACCATGATAAGGGAAAGGAGTGTGGTAATGCTCCCCTCGGACATAATAGATTATGGATACCGAAATTCATACTCAGAAATTTATGTGTTTTTATAAAAAAATAACTTTAGAGGATTAGGAGCTAGATTCCCTCGAATAGATTGACTGTATAAGCAAGCACTAACTGAAATAAGGACTTAGTATTAATCGGTTGAATGAAACGGTTACAAGGATTTCAATGAAGAAGACGAACTGAAAAGAGCTCTGAGAACAGTTAGAGAGTATTCAGGTGTAAAAAGTGTAAAACAAGATCAAGCCGAAAAAGTCCCCCAAACTAAGCTTTTTGCCTTCTTTATATAGCTCACCACGTCGAGCTCCGAACTCCAGCCCGTATCTCGGCCACGTGCAGCAGCTTCCTCCGCGATCTTCGGACTCATTTGAACTGGCGAGAATATGCTTTGACTTGGCTCGAATCCTTCCTTGTTTCTCGGAATTTGATCAAGCTGGAGCTCGATTTCGTCAAACAGAACGTCTTTCTGTTCAGGATTGGATCGTTGAGAGATGAATGGACCTGGGTCATAAGGTCGAAGCCCAGTCATTTTTGGCTTAGTTTGGACCCGCCTGTTGGGCTTGAGTAGGCTGGATTTAGAGTGCTAAATCCAGCTCCAACAATTGCCCCCCAACCCATTAATGAGAGCGAGCTCGAGCTTTAATGGGCGGCAAGATGTGACTTTTGAAAGATATTGTGTTTGATCATGCTGACATCATAGAGTCAGATAATCATTCGAGATCGACGGTTCAGATCTTGGAATGGTGAACAGTTCATCGATCGTGTGGTCGAAAATCGATCTCAAGACCGTAACTTGGCGTGTTGAGATAAATTTGTTATTATCTCGTCCAGGTCGACGGTCGGGATTTGGAGTAAATATTGTCATTTACTTTTCTGGTTCGGCAGTCGAGCTTCCCGGGGCAAGGTGCATCCCTCGAGAAGATTCGCACTAAAGTTTGATGATGTGGAAGGTCCAGATGGAGAGAGAGAAAGTCGATCTGACGGCCTCAATCGATTGAGCTCTGCGATGCGTTGAATCGTCGAGGTCGAATATTCGACAGTTGAGATTGGAGGATCAAACGGTCGAGATCGGCGCGTGGCCAGATTCTCCGTGATCTTCGAGGTTGATAATAATTACCTCGATATAAAGTCCACCTTCTCCACTCCTTCTTTAACCGCTTCCGTCTGTTGATTAAAGGTAACCTCTTCTCTCTTTTTCTTTTAATTTTCTGCAAGTTCCAGTCCTCGTGATTTTTAGAGATCGTTTGCTGAGATTTCCTCTCGGAAGAACTCTGACCTTCGTCTTTGAGTTTTCTGGGTTTAGCGTATGTTATCTTCTTCCTCCTTCTTTCTTTTCTGATGTCGGCAATAGTGAAAATCGAAGGAGAAAGCTCCAGGAGGGCTGCCGTAGGTCCCTCCAAGATCAACGACCAAAAGACTCTCGACGACTTCCGTCAAGAATGCAAAATCCTCGACAGGGTGGAGCTGGCAGTCTTGACGCCAGCGGAGACTCCAGAAAACGTCGAGCGGGGCTTCTGTTGTGTGTATGCAAAATACTTCCGGGATCACAGGCTATTCTTCCCAATCCCTCGGTTCGTCCTCGAAGTGCTGGCGGACCTGCGGCTGTCTTTCCCGCAGATATGTCCGAACTTGGTTTGGGCCATCGTTGGATGTGCCGTGCAGGCCAAAGAAGAGAACGTCATCTTTCACAACTCGGACCTGAGAGCGTTTTTCTCCGTCAAATACAACGCCTGCCGTCCCTGGACTTTCTATGCGTCCCCGAGGTTGAACCGGTGGTTCATCGAGGGAAGCCCGGAGAAGGACTCCGGTTGAGAGAAGATCGGGTTTAAATTCCGGGTCAACAAAGCATCCATCGGGGACTTCGACTTCTCCTGGCTGTCGGTCGAGTTTGCAGGCAACGGTTGTTTTCGGACGTTCGTTAGCTGTTCTCGCTTTGTCTTGCTTGACTGGTTTTTCTGACCCTTTGCTTGTTTTTGTTTATCAGGCCAGCTGTCCAGAGCACCAAAGGATCCCGATATCGAGCACCGGTTAGAGTTGTTCAGGCGAGGAGAAGTTGTCTGAAGCATGTTCACGCGAGAACGAGTTCGACGAGTTCTTTCATCGCCCGCCCCGGCTCTGATTGTCGCACCTGATGAGTTTTGTTTTGAACTAGTGCCTCGACCTCGCTTATTAGATTGTAACAAAATAATGCGAGGTGGTTTATTTTGCTGGCAGCTGGAGTTCTTTCTCTCCGTTCTATTCTGCCCTCTTTTAGTTCAGCAAGTTCAAGTTCAGCCATGTCTCGCAAGCCAACTTTTCATCAAAGAGCCGAGAAAGCCGCGGCCGGCCCCAACAGCTCCAGGGTTTGCTCCGGGAGTGTCAAGGAGGCCCTCGTGGCTGCGCTCGCCTCAGCTGCTGCTTCTGCACCTCACCTCTGCGATGAGGAGGTCGAGCAGATGATGGACCCTCAGCCCAACCCCCCTCCCAGGTTAGTAGGGGCAATCTCCGTGAGCTTAGGCAAGACTCAGCAGCCCGCTGATGACCAGGAGCCCGAGTACTTTTCCCAGCCTGCCTCCAAGAGGCCGAGAGACGACGGGGAAGTCATGTTGCTGAGCCGCGTCCATCGGCGACCAACGGGAGTGGTGGCTCGACGGGTAATCGGCCTTTCCACTGGAAATTTGAGCACACCAAGGATCATCCGATCATGGATGACTCCGAGGGCATGGCGGCCATGTGGCGTCATTTCAAGCCCGTTGGGTGCTAACTTCCAGCTCTCAAGAAAATGACTGAGAGAGAGAGAGCTCTATGTGAAGATGGCGATGGCCCAGGGAAAGGTAAACGGTGTACCTTTACTTTGCGTTTTTTTTTTTTGGAAAAGTGTTGTTTGTCTTAACACTTTGGTCCTTGATGCTCGCAGGCTGCGGAGGCTGGAAACCAGCTCTATACTCGCCTCGAGCAAAGGCTGCGGGATGTCCCTCGTACGGAGGAGATCAAGGAGATGGGGGAGGTAGTTGGCAAGCTGAAGTCCGACCTTGAGGCCGCGAACGTGCAGGTCGCTCGCCAGACTAAACTCCTTAAGCAGCTTAAAGGCCAGCAAGCTCACATAACCGATCTCGAAAACGAGCTGGTTGACAAGGGCAAGACGTTCAAGGTTGCCACCAATCAGATCTTCGAGGCTCAAGCTGAAGTGGTGCGAGCTCACCATGAGGCCACGGTTGCGAGGGAGGGGAATCTCCGTTTGATCCGCGAGCGCTAGGGTGCAATCCGTCAAGCCAGTCGTGAGGCCCGGAGGGAGGTATCCCAGAGGTTCATGGAGGTGATCGAGGGCTTGAAGCTGAAGTGGGAAAAGAAGAAGGTCGAGGTCGTGTCCGAGTGTGATCTCCAAGAGTGCGTCACCAACAAGGAGATGCTCGAGCAGCACGCCGCGATGGCCACTACCATCGAAGAGGAGCTGGAGAGGGTGAAGAAGTACGAGGAGGACTTGGGAGCGGCTTTTAAGGCTGCCTAGGTCTCAGACTTCTTGATCAGCAAGCTGAATCTCCCCGTGATCTCCGAAGACTCGGTAGCTATGGATGTCGACACAGTTTCAGGTGCACCTGTTGGTCTTAATCAATTCGGTACGAATGTGGAGGAAGGGGGGAGTAATGAAGCGAGGAGGGAGGACGACGATGAGAAGGCGGGTGGTTAGCTCGACGGCTGACCGTGGCTCCTTTCTCTTTCCCTTCCTCTTTAAATTTATTTTCCGAACATGATTTCCCGGCAGGGCTTTTACGCTGGTTCTGTGCCCGGGAGGGCTTTAATCCTTTTTTATTTTCGAACTTATCGGTGCCCGAAAGGGCTTTTGTTTAATGCAATCGGGCTTTGTGCCTTAGATATTGTTTATCTCTTGTATTTGTTAAGTATAAGCGGGATGTTTGCTAAGTCATTTAATAACTTATAGAAGCGGACTAGGATTATCGAACTCGAGTCTCAGATCGCTAGTCGTGAATTTGATGCTCGAGTTGTTAACTGAGAGCTTGTTGTTCGATTTATCAGTCTTAGATAAAACAATTAGGTCGCGGATGGTGATCCGTTTACTCTGAAAAAATGGCTAAGTTTTTTAGCTCGACTTTTCTTCAGTTTTTAGAACATGGATCAAACTGCTTCGTGGTGAAGTTTAGGTGTTCGAGGTGGAGTTTGCTTTCTTTTGAACTAGGCGTTTCTCAGTTTCGGCTTTGGGGTGGAGAAGGGGGTTCGATTTTATTCTGAGTTTCCAAACATAGAGCTCAGTCGTCCCTGGAGAACTGCAAGCTGAGTTGGGCTCGCCGGTTCGAGGTCCGAAGCTCCGGCTATGGTTGGGATTGAATTGTAAATCTGGCCGCACCTGTGAAGTAGAGAAGGACTCCGAACTTAGTTGATTTACAAAATGTGAGATGTGTACCTTGTGTTGTTTGGAAAGGCGTCTAGGATAGGTGGCTCCCTCTCCCCCCCTGAAGGAGTGAGGTACGTGTATATTGTA